AGAAGCAAAAAGTAGTCAAGTCAACAAGACAGTCGTGAGCACCACATCCCTGCTACCCACATCTGTGTTACACAGTTCAGAGAGCCCAGTTGGTGCAGAAAAGTAGGACGTTAAACCCCATTTCAATTCATTGTAGAAAATTATGACGTTGTCATTTCCCTTCTTTGTAGAAAAGTATAACCTTAAACCTCATTTTCTTTCTTTGTAAAAAGTATTTCCATAAACCTCGATCATTTCCTTTCTTTGTAGAAAAGTATAACCTCTCTGTAAAAAAGTATACCCTTAAACCTTATTTTCTTTTCATTGCAGTAAATTAGGATGTTGAACAATGTTTTATTTATATTGTATTTCACGTTATGTTGGATCGAATCTGGAATCTGGCACATTCACCATGAAATTATTTATATTTTTTTCTACACGCAAAGTGCCAAAACTTGCTAACAGTGCATTCTATTGCTCGTTTTTTAGAGGGGATGATTGGCAGTATATTTATCTACATGAGAATGAAGCGGAATGTGCAGATTAAGGATGCATTATGTAAGAGAGAGAGAGAGAGAGAGAGAGGGAGAGAGAGAGAGAGAGAAACAGGGTTAACGTCCACTCGACACAAACTAGGTCATTTCGGGACTAACATATGGTTTAATTTTATTTACATAATTCGCTTGCGCGTAGGGGTCTTTAGCAGTGGGAGGAAACCGGACGCCCCGGAGAAAACCCACGAGGTTGGACAGGCGACCCTACTCCTTGCCACGTACAACCGGGGATTTGAAACCACGCCAGTCGACTCAATAACAGACTTTATGATACAGCGCGCGCACGCTAATCATTCAGCCATCCAACCCCCCGCATTATGTAAGAGGTAAAGCTGCCTATTGCTGTTCGCTATCTACATAATTAATTAGCTGAATGTGCAGTTTAAAGATGCACCATGTAAGGGCTAAATCTGCATATTGCTGGTCTTTATTGTAGCTTCAAATGTTACATAAATTATGACCATCTTCATTAGCCCAGTCGGAGCAGAACAGTAGGACGTTAAACCCCATTTCATCTACGCTACATCTTTAAACAAAGAAATTTGAATCATTTTTTTTAACATATACATTTTTTAACGATTACAAGATACATTATGGGAGACTCGATAACGAATTGGCAGTTCTCACTATAATAGTTAAAAACTAGATAATGTTAAGGCAATTTGCTGAAAATTTCATTCAAATTGATCCACTATAACCGAGAACTAAGAGATTGAAATTTCCGCCTAGCCTCGATCATCATTACTAAAGTCAGTACGATAAACAACATAGTCTCGATTATCCCAGAACAGTAGGACGTTAAACCCCATTTCATTTCATTTCTCGATTATCCACTTAATCGTTAAATCGTGAAGGAAAGTTATGCAGTAAATCGGCTCATAATCCACTAAAGATCGCAGGCTATCGATGCCATCTGGAGTTGATTATGGTCTGGATAGGTTAATTAATGTCTAGTTAATAATTTAGATAACATTTCAGGCGTAAAGAAAGACCTGCAATAGGGAGATTTAGCTCTTATATATTGTATGTTTAACGATTACAGCAAGAACGACCAGGGTCCTGTTTCACGAAATTTTAACTAAAGATAAAATCCAAATTTTAGTAGATACTTCAATTTTGATTGGCTAAGCACTACAATCAGTCTAATATTATCCAATCAAATGACTAAAATTTGGATTTTATCTTAGTTAAAATTTCGTTAAACAGGCCCCTGTTCTTACATATAGACATGTTTGAGCTGAATATGCAGTTTAATGACATGAATGCACATGTTATTGACGTGCAAACATTACACATACACACGGATTAAGTTACTATGTATCTAATAAATATAACAGCTGAGTTCAAGTGTTATATGTTATCAACAAATAGTTTGTTAACGGGTGTATATTTTAGGGTGTGTACGGTCATCGTCGACTTCATATCTCATAAACAAAGTTAGGATTCCGATAAAATATAACGTAACGACGAAAAGCTGAAATTAAAGTCATTTTTATCAAGCAAAGAGAGAGAGAAATGGTGTTTAACGTCCACTCGACACAAACTAGGTCATTTCGGGACCAACATATGGTTTATTTTTATTTCAATAATTCGCTTGAGCGTAGGCGTCTTTAGCAGTGGGAGGAAACCGGAGGACCCGGAGAAAACCCACGAGGTTGGACAGGCGACCCTACTCCTTGTCACGTACAACCGGGGATTCGAAACCACGCCAGTTGACTCAATGACAGGCCTTATGATACAGCACGCACGTGCTAACCATTCGGCCATCCACCCCCCTTTATCTAGCAAACATTTGCCAATATTCTTTTTTTTTTTAAATAACACATGGAATAAATTACGTATGTAAATGTTTTTTTATTAGCCGAAACATTTTTAGGTAGTCGTTTTTCACATCTACAATAGAAACAATTCGTATAGAAGCTAGTCACACAACTGAATCATACATTAATTCACTGCAAGTTTGTAACGGTATAAAATGAAATGAAATGGGATTTAACGTCCCATTGTTCTGCTCTGACTGGGTTAATGAAGACGGGCATACGACATACAGTGTGCTATACGACCTACTCTTATATCGAATTCCAACCGTCAAGGGTTCTTTTACGTGCGCGCACATGTACACGGGGCCTCAGGTTTTCGCCCCACCCGAACGACTAAAATAATTATATGAAGAAGAATGTCTGCTTTGTGCCTTATCTATAGATGGTTAATTGTAGCTCGAAATATTCTTATTATATAGAAAAAAAATAACAATATTTACAAAATGTTTCGTTTATAAACACATAATTCCGTTCTTACTTTAACACTACTTACAGAACACAGACGTGTCTTATCCTATAACATAATCAAAGATAAGTTGCCAGGCAACATGGAGCGTTAACAATGTTCTACGAATGTTCTTCCGTTTCACTAATTTAAATAATGCATATCAATTTCATACAGATCTTATAATTATGGAAGCCTAGATCTACCGATAGTAAGTTCTATTTTTTATGATTTCAGAACGGAGGGTTAGATGGCCGAATGATTAGCGTGTGTGCGTTGTATCATAATGTCTGTCATTGAGTCAACTAGCGGGGTTTCGATTCCCCGGTTGTACGTGACATGGAGTAGGGTCGCCTGTCTAACCTCGTGGGTTTTCTCCAGGTCATCCGATTTCCCCCCACTGCTAAACACCTCTACCCACAATCGAATTATTGAAATAAAATTGAACCATATGTTAATCTCGAAATGATCTAGTTTGTATCGAGTGTCGAGTGAACGTTAACCCCCCCCCCCCTCTCTCTCTCTCTCTTCTCTCTCTCTCTCTCTTTCTCGTGTGGTATCTAAATTTTATACAATGCATCTTTAGGAGCATCTTCGCTAGCCAAGAGTCACGTTTGGCAACCCTTGACTAGCGAAGATGACTTTTCAGCACCAATAGCTATTACTACCTTTGAATCTGACCCAGTATAATAGAAATAACTATATAATTGAAACAGTATTTTACATTTAGCAGGAATTCAACAATCGACATGTAAACAATGAGTTAAAGTACCAGAGATTCCTGCAACGGTTCCTGTTTATTATACCATAGAATACAATACCAACTCTCTCTGTATACATTAATACATACACAGCATGTTTTTTCTGGTACTACTATACACCTTTAGCTAATAACATGTAGATATTTAATCACATGCACGTGTCAACTCGACGGGGGTTTCAGATATAAGTGGTATCAGGTGTTCCACAAAATTAAGCATACTCTGATTCATATACGACGCACACCAGTACTATATATGGAAACTATGAAAGGGAAATCAAGTGAAAAGTGGTTTAACGTCCTACTTTTGTGCACCAACCGGGCTTATGAAGTTAAATGTCCTACTCTTCAGCACCAACCGGGATAATAAAGTTTAGCGTCCTACTTTCCTGCACCAATGATAATGAAGTCGAGCATACGCCATTCAGGCGGGGTTGGATGGCTGAATGGTTAGCGTGCGCGCGCTGTATCATAAAGTCTGTCATTGAGTCGACTGGCGTGGTTTCGAATCCCCGGTTGTACGTGACAAGGAGTAGGGTCGCCTATCCAACCTCGTGGGTTTTCTCCGGGTCCTCCCATAGCTAAAGACCCCAACGCGCAAGCGAATTATTGAAATAAAATTAAAACCATATGTTAGTCCCGAAATGACCTAGTTTGTGTCGAGTGAACGTTAAACCCCATTTCTCTCTTTCCTATACGCCATTCAGTGTGCTATGGTGAACAAAATGCTACACAGTGGCGCTACGGTCTACCCGTATTTCAAATTACAACTGACAACTGTACACGGGACCTCGGTTTTCCGTATTAGCAGTTTTTCCTTGCCGGGCCGTCCGTTCCGACTGGAAAGGACAAATGTCTAGTCGTACAGTGGTACCCAAAACCAAGGTTCCGTGTACACGTGGACGTTTACGTAAAAGAACCGCTGTCAGAAAGGAATTCGACGAAAAATAGGCGGATACGCTGCCCGGCCCAAATACCCAGTGTAGGACACTGCATGGTGCATGCCCGTTTACATTATACTATTATTGATAACAACATCGTGTTTGCTATGACATTGAGTTAAAAACTTGGATCCTTTAAACATATGAAAATGAAATGGGGTTTAACGTTTTATTGTTCTGCTCCGACTATGCTAATGCGGGCGTACACCATAGAGTGTACTATGAGTCAAATTTGAAATGGACAGCGGCGCTACATCTTCAATAGAAGGCTTGATCTCGCCTTAACTACGTACATCTTATCGCTAGATGTTGTAAAACTCGCGGTCGTTGCTTCAGGAACATGGTGGCGCTACGGCCTACTCTTATATCGAATTCCTACTGTCAAGGTTTCTCTTACGTGCACGCAAATGTGTACATTGCTTTTTGTCCGACCCCCTGTCCTGCACTTCATAAAACACAGTGGCTTTCTTTACGAATAAAATATTTGTTAAAATTACTTACTTAATTTAAGAAATCTAAAAACATTTTTCATCATATTCCTGGTATTGACAGCATAATCCTCCAATCGTATCACCAGAAACTGATCACGTGGATAAATATTGAGCCAGTTTTCAAGATAAGCATAATATATACCTATACGTAATCTTACCTAGAATGAAAATTAAACCACAGCATAAGAATAAAAATAATATTAAGAGAAATATTAAAAGCAGAGAACTTTGCCCGGAAAGGTTGATATCCAGATAAAATTCATACACATAAAATAATATTTAAAGATATATATATATATACTAAAATGATTTCAAATTCTCAGTGTCCGGTATATATATAAAAATAGTTAAAACTAGAAACACGTAGATCTAGCTCGTAGATAGAGAGAGAGAGAGAGAGAGAGAGAGAGAGGGGGGTTAAAGTCCACTCGACACAAACTAGGTCATTTCGGGACTAACACATGGTTCATTTTATTTCAATAATTCGCTTGCGCGTAGGGACGTTAGAGTGGGAGAAAACCGGAGGACCTGGAGAAAACCCACGAGGTTGGACAGGCGACCCTACTCCTTGTCGCGTACAACCGGGGAATCGAAACCTCGCCAGTTGACTCAATGACAATGAAATAACTATTTACTTACCCGAGCTAAATTTGCTAAAGTCCGGTTATATATACATGCCGTAAGGGTATATTTTTGTGTGCAGTTGATATGAAAAGAAATGGCTTTGGCGGCGTTCATATGAAAATCATAAGCCGATTTACTGGTTTTTTGAAAATAGAGGTAGTCAGACCATAATCTGAAACAGAGAAACAAAATTTACTCATTTATAGATTACGCGCAGATGTATTTTTGCAATGGGTGGGACGAAACGTGCACGCGTGTACTGTACATCATAATGGCTGCCATTCAGTCGAGTAGCGTGGTTTCTAGATGTCTCCGTTACTGTGTGTGTGTGTGTGTGGGGGGGGGGTGTATATGGTGTATATCGAGGACACACATCTGAATACACACCTTCTAATCACGGACCTGTGTCAACCGAGGACGTCCTCGGTTCAACCCAGGACTTTTTGAACTAAATCTAGGACTGTAACGATCTTCAGACGCCCGGATTTAATATCCCATTTGATTTTAAGGTCGATCTGAGGTGATCCGCGTTAAGCGGTATTCTACAGTTGGGGTGTATCTTTAGTGTGTGTGATCTGAAAAGGAAAAAATATGATTATGTGTATCAAGTCCGCAGTGAGTGTTTATTGGACACGGAGTGTATCAAGTTCTCAGTTAACCGATGTCTACCATACACATCATATATGGTCACGTGGGAGAAATAAGTTATTATTCATACCATATCTAAACTTAACCGTTTTAAACCCGCACGATATTAAAAATCTAGCCATCTAGTCATTATATTACTTCTGGCGTAACTTATATTACTTATTTTTACCTGGCGTAACATATAAGATTATTGCCGAAATCATAAAGATAAAATAATGAGTAATCAACAGTTGAAATATTAATAAGTCGCGCAATTTCAAGAAGTGTTATTGTTATATAATGCGTAGGTACCAATGGGCAATTTTTGCCTTGCCGATGTACTAAAGATATAAGGCGTCGGGAACAGGTTTTCAGGTGTCCTAGGGGAGCTCCTGGGGCATCGCGAGCCACGTGGACCCATCGGTAGGTGTAGCACTATCATCGTTGCGACATTGTTTTTAAATTTATAGACAAGGAATAGAGAAATAAGATCGGTTAAACAACATATTTTATCTTTACAAATTATTCTCTATTGTCAGTATAGTAGCTATGGTATGAGTTTATTTAAAACGCAAATTAATTGTTTGTGAAATAGCGTGAGAATAACAGGAAAGGGGTTTTAAGTTCAAGGATAGATTGTGTCGAAAAACATGTGACGGGAATTTACGATTGCATCATTTGGCTTATTTGACCAATCTCTGTAATTATTTACATCATATTTGACCAATTAGATAATTGAAGATCCAAAGCCAAAAGCTACAAAACTATCATATTTGTGAGAATTCGTTAGACAGCAGCTTGGTTCTAGAAGTGAAAAGATGTAGAAGTTTCTATTCAGCAGACTCGCCCATATCGAGTCTGGCTGGCTAGGGTTTGAGATTGACTTTAGTATTGTAATCTATACTAATGCTTATATGTATCCAGCTTGATATATAAAATGTAAAAACCAACAGTTGCATTGTTATAACTACTGAGAAGACAAACGTCTTAAAAAAACAGTAAGAGGTAAATACACAACGTGAAGCAGAAGTAAAGACAGCTAGAGGCAAATTCTAGACGATAACAAGGCTACTAAGATATGTAGTAAGAAAAGATGCATGGGTCGTACGTAGGATGTGGCGATCGATTAGGATCTCCCGCTCTCCACGTCTGACAGAAGGTCCATGGTGCTACAGAGGTCACGGAAGAACTGCGAAAAGTTTCAATGTTTTCATTGTCAGGAAAATAGATCGGGAGGCATCCCCAGAGCTTTCCAGATTCACAAGGACATTCCGGGGATGCTTCCCTGGAGCTTCCGCGAAATATGCTCCGGGGCATGACCGATGTCTTGCTGATGTATCAGAGGACCTTTGAGGATATTTGAATCGGGGATGCCTCGGGGAAAAAGTATTCTTCAAGGAAGAATCTCGGAGCTTCCCCGTCGGGTAAACATCGGGCATATTTTCAATACTAGCTTTGAAATTTATCGCAGTTATCCCCAGGCTTCCCGATGGTTTCATATGGCCCGCGACTACTCCGAAGCATCGGCGATGTCTTGCTGACTTATCAGGCGACCTTTGAGTATATTTGAAGCAAAATATTTCGCTGAAGCTTCACTGCTCCAGGGAAGCATCTCCGGAGCTTCCCCGTCGATATGGAAAGCTGCCGGCATGCCCTCCCGGCCTGTTTTCCAGACAAAACGTCGGGAACACATCGGAAGAAATTCCAATGCCAGCTTTGAAATTTTTTGCAGTTCTCCTGAGTCCTCCTAATGGTTCAACATTGCTCATGATGACCCCGAAACTTTCCCTTCACACCGGGCGCCTCGGGGGATCATCAATTTCAGTCGGTAGTATATCGCCGATGCAAAAAATGCCCAGTAGGACCTTGGCATATGTGTCGCCGATTGAGATCTCCCGACATGAATATTCACCCGATGATTTTGATTATCGGCAAAGGTACCCCGGAGCTTTCCCGGTTATTGGGAGCCATCCTCGATGATTCATGGCAATTGCTCGGGGCAGGGCATTCCCGGAAGTTTGTGACCATAGCCTAAGCATCAGTGCACATTCACCAGACCACTCCCGATGCTTAATAAGTTCTATTTCTGACGGGACTACTTCGTTTCTTTGGGCAAAAATATCGGGACCCATCGGGAGAAAATTTAATATCTTAAAAAGTTAAGTTCTTAAAAGTTTAAATTAACACTGTAAACCTCAAAATGCCTCGTTCGGCAATTTTGTTCAAACGTGGCAAAAATGTGTTATAATTTTTGCCACAATTTTGCCACGTTGTGGAGTATAAAGGCGCGTTCACACTGGGGGTTTAATCTGAATTGAACTCAGAATAAAGTCTTATTCCGGATTTAGGTGAAATGAAATAGGGTTTAACGTCCTACTCTGCTCCGAACTGTGCTAATGAAGACGGGCATACGCCATACAGTGTGCTATGAGGGAAATTTTGCGTGGGCAGGGGCACTACTTCCTGATCTTATATCGAATTCCAACTGTCACAAGGGATCTTTCACGTGCACGCCAATGTGTACACGGGACCTCCGAACGACAAGACAGCTGTCCTTGTCAGGCCCTCCGTCCTGCTTCACGGACAAGGGGAATAAAGCCGGAAAATCTGGCTGAATTTTCTCGACCAATGCAGGGATCGAACACCCGACGACCTCCAGACAAGCGAGCCAGCGTCTTACCCACTTAGCCACCGTGTCCCCGTTGAGGATGCAAATATCGATTTAAGCCGATAATGAATTTTGTTTCTAAATGTGAAGACATATTTATATCGGTTTCTGCATTGATGTTGTTATACTTTTCCTCATACATGAACATAATCGACCCATAAGCCACGTTTATCTTGAATAACCAATCACGAGCAAGGAGGAAAACACTAAAAACACAAATATAAAATATTATTTCCGGGACAAAAATGAAAGCAACATGTCGACAAGAAGTTGATAGCTAAAACCTTTAGATCTAAAATTAACGACCACATAAAAGTTACTGATTTTATTTCCAAACACAATTGATGCATACTATTTACAGCGAGAACCCCCCAATAATTATTTCTTTTTAACGCAAGGATACTTCCCACAATTAGACTATTGAACAATGGAGGTTATCATTTGTTTTATACACAAATAACTGATCACACGACGTGTTCGTTTGAACATCAATATAAAACATATAACGTTGCCATCTCATCATGATGGTTTAAGCCACTCAATGTTCCAAATACCAGTTAACAGTTTGATTAAGAAATAATAACAGCTAAATCGTTAATATTTAGGATCTAGGGATTAACACAAATGGGTCGCAACGCATATATGAATGTATATAAAATGATTTACATTCAATCATTTCCGTTTTTACTCTTATTTCAAATCAGTTATGTTCGGCGAAATATGCCAGAAGTCTCAATCGAATGGCTATCCCAAGCGTCTGGTTATTCCAGTCTACAACGATAGTATTTATTGCGCATTCTCTCCAGATAAGAATATGACGTCACCGTTTGACATGACTTGTGGAATATGTCTAGTCTCGCTCTTCGAGTCCCTTGTTACAAATGGAGCTGAAACGCATTATGGTACACGATTCGTGTACCAATTGCAAAATGTTTATTTTGTCTTAAATATTGGATATCAGAAGCTCATCTTTTCCGGTAAGATCACAACATCAATGTTGATTTAAATTGACAAATAATTCGTGTTTCCAATGTCGAAGACTGTGGATGATATTGAGTTAGAGACTTAGCTACTTTAAGTAACTAGATTATTTTTTTATTAAATATTAAATTACAACCCATGAATGAAACTTTAAGCTTTTTATTAGAAACGCTTGGAGAAATTCCGTACAAAATGTAACAGGATGTTATTTCACAGGTTCTTCAATATGCGCGATATCAAATTAACCAGGGGTCATTATAGAAGTTTATTTAGTACGACAGACGTCACGTGATGTAAGAGGGGTAGACGGCTTTTCTCACGATGAAATTCTTTTTTAATTTCATTAGATTTTGTAAAAAAAAATATCTTATAAATCTGTCTTTCGATATTAAACGGTTATTTTCTAGATTCTGGTATGAAGAACTCATTTTTCTACAAATAAAATTATCTCTCGATATCAAACTGGATTCTGATGTAAAGAACCCATTATTACTTATTACCGTGTTTAACGAACTCCATATGGTGCGATCTTTTTATTTTCTATTTCCATTTAGTACGACAGACTGGAGCAACGGTGGCTAAGTAGGTGAGACGCTGGCTCGCTAGCCAGGAGGTTGCGTGTTCGATCCCTGCATTGATGTTGTGATCTTATCGGGAACACACAGGCTTCCGATATCCAATATTTAAGACAAAATAAACATTTCACCATTGGTAAATGAATCGTGTACCATAATGCGTTTCAGCGCCATTTGTAACAAGGGACAGACGATGTCAGACGATGACCTCATATTCTTATCTGGAGAGCATGCGCAATAAATACTATGCGTACACTGGAATAACCAGATGCTAGAGATTGTCATTCGATTGAGACTTCTGGCGTATTTGGCCGAACATAACTGATTAGAATTTTCAGTAAAAACAGAAACGATTGAATGTTTATATACATTAATATTACATTATTATATGCGTTGCGACCCATTTGTGTCAATTTCTAGGTCCCACATATTAGCAATTTAGCTCCTTTAATCTTGGAACGGAATTGAGAATATTCAACCAGACAGATTAGAACTGGGGTAATGGTTTTAAATAGGATGTAATTTGGTGTAATTTTCATTCATTTTGATATTACATAATTTATAGAATGAATTTTTAAGAAATGGGAGCATCGGGGTAGCCGACAGTATGATTTAATATCACGTATAAATTTTACTAATTTCATTTCGTTTGATATTATAATTCAATAAGGGTACAGCCAACTCGTACTCTGAGATCCCAGTATCAAAACATTTAGCTCCTTTAATCTTGGAACGGAATTGAGAATATTCAACCAGACAGATTAGAACTGGGGTAATGGTCTTAAATAGAATGTAATTTGGTGTAATTTTCATTCATTTTGATATTACATAATTTATAGAATGAATTTTTAAGAAATGGGAGCATTGGGGTAGCCGACAGTATGATTTAATATCACGTATAAATTTTACATATTTCATTTCGTTTGATATTATAATTGAATAAGGGTACAGCCAACTCGTACTCTGAGATCCCAGTATCAAAACATTTTCTGCATTCCATCATTAAAATTAAAACTGTTCGGAGATGGAAGCTTTAGTACTGCTGCAACAAAACTGTGGAACAATTTACCTCAAAATATTCGCGACAGCAAAACTCTTACAAGTTTCAAATCTCAATTAAAAACTCACTTGTTCAAACAATCTTAGGTTGACTGAACAGACATAGTTTATTTCTCTTAAAAACGCGTTGAGCATGCTTATGGATGGATTTGACGCTTAAGAAATGGACTATTTTAAAATGCTTAGGAGCTTTTGTATACAATTCATTCATGTCTTTGTAAAGTTGTGTATTTTTATATAATTATGTCCATGTATCTATTCTTTGTTTGTTTCATGTATATTTCTATTATTTTTTTTGTATGCACATAACCTTGCCATGTTTTTTATGCAATAAAGTTTATTTCTTTCTACATATATTTATTAGAATAGAACAAGGTTTGCCAGTCTAATTTGATATTTATTGCTTTCCCATGTCGCAGCTTCACCCTGTTTAACTTATTATTGGTCCTACTACTTAGGCCTATCGTTTATATCCTAATTAATAATATTTTATTTTATTTTTGAAATTCGTAACATTGAATAATATTGATGGCAAAAAACCAACATGTTAGTAGACAAACCTGTTTTATGTAAGTCATATTATATCAAAGCGTTTCAATATGGCTGTACCAAGCATCCTTATATTCTAACAGATTGAAATCTGTCCAACAGCTGAGTTAAATCAACATTGGATTCCATAGTAACCAGATATTATACAGATCATTCAAAATTCAAAATGAAATTAAAGATACATTATGCATGAGCTAAATCTGTCTATTGCAGGTCTTTCTTAAGGCCTGAAATGTTATCTAAATTATTGATTAGACATTAATTAACCTATCCAGACCATAATCAACTCTAGATTGCATCGCTTTACTGCATAACTTTCCTTCACGATTTAACGATTAAATGGATAATCGAGACTATGCTGTTTATCGTACCGACTTTAGTAATGATGTTAGAGGCTAGGCGAAAATTTAAATAGCTTAGTTCTCGGTTCATAGTGGATCAATTTGACTGAAATTTTCAGCAAATTGCCTTTACATTATCTGGTTTTTAACTATTATAGTGCGGACTGCCAACTCGTTATCGAATCTCCCATAATGTATATTTAAAGTTTCTTTCCTGGCAAATATTTTCAATTAAAGATATTGTAACAGTTATGGACACTTAACCATCGATTCCCGCAAATTATTATATTTTTTTTTTGGGGGGGGGGGCGAATATGTTAGTCCCGAAATGACCTAGTTTGTGTCTTGTGGACGTTAAACCCCATGTTCTCTAGCGGGGCTAATTGTAGTCAGACAGTGTAAGTTTATTTTGCTTGATAATAGGCCTGTATTAGGTACTGAAATCACCATTGGCAACAGCGTATTAGTAATATTGACACTTGTATTTTTACTCGCATGCATTCAAACAGCCAATATGATGATTCACCGCCTAAAATCGTTTCTAATATGAAATATAAATTTATGTTTTTATCTTGAGATTCAAGCCAATGTCTTGTATAAACATTTATGATGTAATATCTGGAGATCACAAACCATCAGTTGTATAAACACCGTATCAAATAACTGCGGATAAATCTACTTATAAACGGGTAAAATTATCACTTATGAAAATATTAACTTTTGAACATATGTGCAGCCATGTACAGTAATCAAAACATCAAGAAATCTTTTATGGGGTGGGGCCAAACGTTCACTTTTATGTAGTTTTCACAAGAGATAAAATAACTTGTTAAAGATACATTATGGGAGATTAGATAAAGAGCTGGTATAATAGTTATAAGGGATTTTGCTGAAAATTTCAGTCAAATTGATCCACCCTAAACCGAGTATTTAGCGATTAAATTTTGGGTCTAGCCTCGATCATCATTACTAAAGTCGGTACGATAAAAACATAGTCTCGATTATCCATTTTTTGATTTAATCAGAAGCAGCAGATCGGGTTCTAATCCAGTAAATATCGCAGGCTAGCTATGACACCGAGAGTTGATTATGGTCTAGACAAGTTAATTAATGTCTAATTAAACATACATTATGCAAGAGCTAAATCTGCCTATTTCAGGTCTTTCGTTAGGCCTGAAATGTTATCTAAATTATTAATTAGACATTAATTAACCTATCCAGGCCATAATCAACTCTAGATGGCAGCGTTGGGTCATCTATGGTTGGACTTGGGTCGTGTTCACGCAGTGAGCACAAATGGGGTTCCAGAGATATTATCCTGGGGCCTGTTTCACGAAATTTTAACTAAGATAAAATCCAAATTTTAGTATTTGATTGGATAATATTAGACTGATTTTAGTTCTTAGCCAATCAAAATTGAAGTATCTACTAAAATTTGGATTTTATCTTTAGTTAAAATTTCGTGAAACAGGGCCCTGGTGCTTGTTTCACGAAATTTTAACTAAGATAAAAATCCAAATTTTAGTAATTTGATTGGATAATATTAGATTGATTTAAGTGTTCAGCCAATTAAAATCGGAGTATTTACTAAAATTTGGATTTTATCTTTAGTTAAGATTTCGAGAAACAAGGCCCAGGTTACCAAAACAATGTTGCTATAGGCAACGAATCACACGGATAGAAGTCAATCGGAGACAATGGCTAGTCCAATGAACAATGATGTTTTCCTGGATTCTGAATAGCGTCTTGGATCCTAAAGGTGCTACAATCTGATAAAATGCAGATCTATATTTCGTTTCGTTTTTTTTTATACTTTTGATGGCCTATACTACATGAAGATCTGACCAGTTGTTTTGTGGGGTCGCGTTAAAGGTATACGAGGAGCTTTTGATCCTTTGACGTCAGATATTTGATTATCCAATCAGCATTGATGTTTCTAGTGGGTTAGCCACAGTATCGTGTAGCTCACGCCAAAAGCTCGCCGTAACAGACCGTTTCATTGGCATCCAGAACACGTCAATGATAAAACTTCTTCCAGATTCTAGTGTAGTAAAGACAAGTAAAACGAAATTTTGAACTATAAAAAACGAAACGAAATAGGATCTGTGTTTTAGTATTTTCACCCAGAGATAACATTGTTAATCTGGATTGTTTGTTTCGAGGGATCTTAAATATGTAACTTTATTGCACAATACCACCACCCTAAATTCGCACCTGGGGGCGATTATCTCATAAAGCTTACCTGTCTACCGGGTCCCGTAATATAATGATAATTTTAGCGTTGGGTAAAAAATGATGAACATAGTCAGCGTTAGTATATTTAGGTTCTGTTTGTCCACAATTTTCCTTCAATCTCCACCATTCATCATTATCCCACAGAGTGGATACAGATGCGTCTCCTGTAATATTGAAAACATCATCATTATCCCACATACAGACACGTCTCGTGTAATATAGAAAACATCGTGTAATATATCACTATCATCACCATCATCATCATCATCATCATCCCACAGTCGAGTCCAATGTAATAATCATTATCCTACAGGGTGGATACAGACACGTCTAATGTAATAATCATTAATCTACAGGGTGGATACCGACGAGTTCAATGCAATAATCATTATCCTACAGTGTGGTCCAGTGTAATAATCATTAAACTACAGTGTGGTCCAATGTAATAATCATTATCCTGCAGTCTGGATACAGACACGTCTAATGTAATAATCATTACAAGGGTTGCCAGACAGCGAAACAGGCACCCACAGCCGTTCAAGAACGGCAGTATTTTATTCTCATGTAGTTAATGGGCGGGGTGGGGGATGGGGGTGGGGCGGTGATTGGCATTTAGTAGACTCCTAGCACAAATATAATTATTATACAACCACGTGCAAGTAATTACTTTTATTTTCGTTTCATAGACATAAAGAATTGTGTATAAATTCCTTGTCAATGGGGGAATAACTTCAAACTCCAGAGCCTCATAAATATTGTTTGACCGATATTGAATTTTAAACCTATTAGAGATTTAACATTCGCAAAATTGCAGTTTGAAGGGGTTTGAATTGGGTGTGTGTGTGTGTGTGGGTGGGGGGGGGGGTCTTTGGATGGCGCTGCATCATAAGGTCTGTCATTGAGTCAACTGGCGTGGTTTCGATTTCCCGGTTGTACATGACAAGGAGTAGGGTCGCCCTGTCCAAGCTTGTGGGTTTTCTCCTGTTTTCTCCCACTGCTAAAATTGAACCATATGTTAGTCCCGAAATAACCTGGTTTGTGTCGAGTGGACGTTAAACCCCATTTCTCTCTCTCCCTCATCTCGGTTAATAATGTAATTAAAAGGTGGATCATATTATGTATTTTTAAATTAGACTGAAATTAGTTTGAAGTTAGCCACGCATGTCACTGTCTGTTTCTAACCAATCAAGTTAGCCATGCCTGTCACTGTCTGTTTCTAACCAATCAAGTTTAGTATTGCAATAACAACTGTGATGTAGTTTTTGTTTGTTTTTGTTGTTTCACCAGCTGCCAATGGCTGTTAATTTGACATGTAAGAAGTTTTAAATTAGTCCAACATTTGTTTTTCTAGCTTAATGAATGTGGTAAAATAATCTCCGTTTCGTAGATTGGCTCCCAAGCTTCTATACATTCCCGAGATTCACATGTATACAGATTTATAATCTAGGTCATTTCGGGAGAGAGAGAGAGAGAGAGAGAGAGAGAGAGAGAGGGGGGCGTTAACGTTCACTCGACACAAACTAGGTCATTTCGGGAGAGAGAGAGAGAGAGAGAGGGGCGTTAACATCCACTCGACACAAACTAGGTCATTTCGGGGGAGAGAGAGATAGAGAGAGAGAGAGAGAGAGAGAGGTCATTTCGGGAGAGAGAGAGAGAGAGAGGGGGGCGTTAACGTCCACTCGACACAAACTAGGTCATTTCGGGGGAGAGAGAGATAGAGAGAGAGAGAGGTCATTTCGGGAGAGCGAGAGAGAGAGAGAGAGAGAGAGAGAGAGGTCATTTCGGGAGAGAGAGAGAGAGAGGTCATTTCGGGAGAGAGAGAGAGAGAGAGAGAGAGGTGGGGCAACGCCCACTCGACACAAACTAGGTCATTTCGGTAGGACCGGGAGAAAACCGCGAGGTTGGACAGGCGGCTAGTTGATGAAACCACACCATTTAACTCAACGACAGACCGTTAACCATTCGGTCACCTCAACTAGACTGTGAATGTTTGTAAAACATACAGGTGATAAAATCAACTTACCTGTGATGATGTTACTGGTACCTTTACCTGTTGATCGTGTTTCTATATCATTAGCTACACCGTCAAATAAATCGATATAATGGCTGAAAGGTTGAGACATCGTGTAGTTAGATCTCCAACCTGAAGTTATACAAGTAAACAATTCTATTGTACAACAACAACACAACAACAAAACAACAATTAAACAACAATAACAATAACAACCAAACAACAACTAAACAACAATAACAACAACTAAACAACAACAGTAGCAGCAGAAACAAATATTTTAGTAAACCAGTGCAGGAGACTTAGCGTCACTTGCGTGTGTTCGGCACCGTAGAAGATCGCAGAGTTCTCAACCGGTTTCCATGCGGCTGGTCTGCGAGCTACCAAACATTACAACCCGTGCGTTTCAAAACATGTACGGCTGGTTGTGAGCTAGGCTTTAGGGAGGTCATATTAAACTCAGACTGCCTGTTTACAATTAGCTCCGCTTGAGAACAGACACTAAGCTAGTTGACCGACATTTTAAGTCCTAAATCGACGATTTTAGTCGAAATCACTAAGTAAACTTTTGATTATATGTGAACGATCTGACCATACTAAACTTAGTCTGCCTGTCTACTTTTAGCTCCACTTGAGAACAGACAATAAGCTAGTGGACCGACATTTTAATTCCTATATCGACGATTTTAGTCGAAATCACTAAGTAAACTTTTGATTATATGTGAACGATCTGACCATACTAAACTTAGTCTGCCTGTCTACTGTTAACTCCACTTGAGAACAGACACTTAGCTAGTGGACCGACATTTTAATTCCTATATCGACGATTTTAGTTGAAAACAATGGAAATATAAATACATGTAGGTTTATTTAGTCTTTGTGTGTATGCCAGATATGTATGCCAGTAGAACCGCAATTTACTTATTTTCGGATATGGCAGCCATTCAGAACAGAGATTTATTCTCGAAGTATAATGTAGTTGGATCGCTGTGTGCAGAATGTTGCCCCCGCTTGGAACCACCGATACATTAATGAACCAGATCCTTTAAACGCGACATGCTTGGTTGTGTAAACTCGTGAGGCCTTGCTAGATAGATAGAGACGATTCTAATTTTAAAAAAATGAAATTAAATGGGGTTTAGCGTCCTACTGTTTCAGTAATTATGGACGCCGGGCCGACGTACGGACAGACCGACGGATGAACGGATGGGGGGGGGGGGGCGCGGCAATATACGATCATATTTCAATGTGGGAGTATACAGAAACCGGGACAGGTGGGTTTCTGTGGTGTGTAGCCAAAAACGGACGGCGTATGCCAGCCTTGATTTGCTCAATTGGTACAGAAAAGCAGGGCGTTAAATCTCATTTCTTTCTTTTATATTTTAACCATTATGTTGACCTGGGATTTTTTTCAGACGTGTCAAATACTAAATATAAATGGGTGTCGACTTTCAACCATTCAATAATTGGTATAACAAGTTTAAAGGAGCTAAATCGCTAATATTTGGGACCTAGAAATGACCGAAATGGGTCGCAACGCATATAATAATGTAATCCGATTGTATATAAACCGAGTCAGTTATGTCCTGCGAAATAATGCAGGAGTCTCAACCAAATGGCAATTTCTAGCGTCTGTTTATTGCAGTCTATTGCGGATGCTCTCCAGATAAGATATGGCGTCACCATTTGACATGAGTTGTGGAATATGTCTAGCCTCGTTCTTTCTGGTCACTTGTTACAAATGACACTGAAACGCACTATGGTACACAATTCGTGTACCAATAGTAAAATGTTTATTTTGTATTAAATATTGGATATTAGAAGCCTACCTTTTTCCGACAAGATCACAACATCAATGTTGATTCGAATTGACAAAAAATTCGTATTTTCAACGCGTAATACTTTGGATGATATTGCGTTAGAGACTTACCGGCAGCTACTTTAACATTTTTATAATCATGTCAGTTCAAAGAGAGAGAGAGAAATGGGGTTTAACATCCACTCGACACAATCTAGGTCATTTCGGGACTAACATATGATTTAATTTTATTTACATAATTCGCTTGCACATAGGGATCTTTAGCAGTGGGAGGAAACCGGAGGACCCGGAGAAAACCCACAGGGTTGGACAGGCGACCATACTTCTTGTCACGTACAACCGGGGATGTCAGTTCAAAACTAATTGGCGGAATGGATGACGGAAATAGACACTCTTGGTCCTGTCCGCCGAAGTAAAATACCGAAGTCAGAAATACGGTCATTGTCAGGTATACAATTCACTGTACATTTCAGGATGACGTCTGCACACGGAGCACTAATCTACTTTAAGAATTGATCTCTGTCCCGAATGGCCGCCATAATAAAAACTTAGTATACCATTTTGTAATGTGGTTCTAATCTTTCATACACACAATGACAAAATAAACATTTTCAACTTTTTAATATAAGCGTAATAAATTGTTCTCAAAATTCTCGAAGCACGGATAGTATTTACTACTACTTCCGTCAATTTGGGAACTAAAATGTCGGTGAACCAGTTTCGTGTCTGTAATAAATCGACGAGAGAGAAAGACATGGGGTTTAACGTCCACTCGACACAAACAAAGTCAATTCGGCACTAACAATAAACAATAATTCGCTTGCGCGTAGGGGTCTTTAGCAGTGGGAGGAAACCGGAGGACCTGGAGAAAACCCACGAGGTTGGACAGGCGACCCTACTCCTTGTCACGTACAACCGGGGATTCGAAACCACGCCAGTCGACTCAATGACTGACCTTATGATACAGTGGGCAGGTGCTAATCATTCGTCCATCCATCCCCCCCCCCCCGTGTCTGTAATAAATCGGAGCTATTTGTAGATAGTCCACGTAAGGTTGTGACTTTCTTTATTCGAGATGATCATTCCATGTGTCAAGTTGATCAATGCATGTGTCAAGTTGATCAATGCACGTGTCTGGATGATCACTGCCCGTATTAGGACGATCACTGGCCATTTTAGTTTCGTTAATATTTCGAAGAACTAAGCGGAAGGGTACTTGTTTTCTAATTTTAGTTTAAATTTGGGTTTACTGTGTGTGGAACACGCAATCGTTTATTTCTAAACCTTGATTTTATCTATAGCCATTCAAAGGAACCAACAATATTATATTTAATCCAGTCGTATGATATAAACTTTGACCTTCCACTGCCTTTAGTATACCACCATCCCTATCAACCTAAATACCGTTTGGCCTGTCTAACGACCCAACAACATTTCAAAATAATAAGGATGACATATAAACACCCTTCCTCTTCACTTTATAATACACCTATCATAATTATACTATATTATAAAAGCCCCATTATCATCACGGCTACTCTATATCATATTTTAAAGTCCAATACTGTCAGAAAAGGGTTATTCTACATCAAATCATAAAGTACTGTACATGTACAAGTACTGTATAATATTTTAAAACCCCACCATGCCAAAATAAGGGTTACTCACAGACTGTGACACATTAAGTATGTTGGCTACTGCTCGCTGTGTAGAACCCATTTGAAGCATGCCAATAGCACGTAGACGTTCATCACGTTGAAGACGTCTCATTGCAAATTAAATGTAACACACTAAAGCAAAGATACGCTAAACAGTAAATCTTATGCAAGAACCGATAGGAAAGCAAACCTGAATAGGATAAACCAGCACGCGGCAGTTTTCATCAACCCTTCCTTGAAGTGTCAAATTTGACAATGAACCCTTCCCACGTGTATGGCGCGATGGCGTGTCGCATGTGCAGCTCAATGGTTCTGTTGGGGCGATAAGTTGTTTATCGGTGAACATACTCAAAGCATGGCAAGTGTCCATGACTATTTATCATATGACAACCTGCATAGGTATTTGCATTTCAATATCCCCTACTTTTTTTGAAGAGTATATTTTAAAGCCATACACTGTTAGAATAAGGATTACTCTGTATAATATCATTAGCCCCGCCATCACCGTGTTAGAATAAGGGTTATATAATATTTTAAAGGCCCAACATGCCAGAATAAGGGTTGTTCTATGTTATATTTTCAAGCCAGAACAAGGATATTGCCAGCAGGAATCGACCTTAATATGCCATTCTTGATTTTATTCATGACTACTTGTTTACCCGACAGTCCTGTGATGCTTCCTTATATGGGTTTGTTAAAGAGTAAGCAGTTTATGACGTAATGTCTTACCGTATCTATTTTTACCCCACCAATGACATTCCTTGATGGGTGGCGACATTACATCCGGGTGACTTATTAATTTTTTATACAAATCTGTACTACCGCACTTTGGTTGACCAGCAATAAAGAAATAGGGTAGACATCTTAAACGTCGGGGATTTGACTCCTCGGCGAACTTTTTCTTCCAGTGAGAAGTTAATTTGATAAACAATGATTTTACGCTGTGGAAATACTCCGAGAATTTATTATCAGAATATACGTCATAGTCCGTGAGATCTTCATACCAACATGGATTTCTAAACTTAGGATTATATCTAGGAACATCCTGAAAATTAAAAGATAAAAAGAATTAATAAGAGGTTATACATTTATACCTATATTACAACCATTATTTAATAATTCATAGTCTCTGAAAATAAAACTGGTCATGTGGGTATTTAATATATAGACTCTGAAATTAAAACTGGTTATATGTGGGTATTTAATATATAGTCTCTGAAATTAAAACTGGTCATATGGATATTTAATATATAGACTCTGAAATTAAAACTGGTTATATGTTGGTATTTAATATATAGTCTCTGAAATTAAAACTGGTCATGTGAATATTTAAAAATGTATAATCTCTAAAATTAAAACTGGCCATGTGGGTATTTAATATATAGTCTCTGAAAATAAAACTGGTCATGTGAATATTTAATAATGCATAGTCTCTGAAATTAAAACTGGTCATGTGAATATTTAAAAATGTATAGTCTCTAAAATTAAAACTGGCCATGTGGGTATTTAATATATAGTCTCTGAAATTAAAACTGGTCATGTAGATAATTGATAATGCATAGTCTCTGAAATTAAAACTGGTCATGTGAATATTTAAAAATGTATAATCTCTAAAATTAAAACTGGCCATGTGGGTATTTAATATATAGTCTCTGAAAATAAAACTGGTCATGTGAATATTTAATAATGCATAGTCTCTGAAATTAAAACTGGTCATATCTGTATTTTTTAAATATATAGTATTGACGCGTGTCGTACACAAGCCGACTATATACATTTGAGTAGATGTAGTTTAACGGATTGATAATATTAATAAAATATTATCAAGAAAAAAAATGGAATACACAGATTTCACTGACGTTATCTCGCTTCCGGTATAAAAACAACTTTCTGATTTTATATTTCAGCCTCATCAATCAAACATAATATACAGTCGACAAACTGGCGCTAGTCCAATATCATGTCTAAATTCCTGGAGTTAAGTACAGAGACTTTATTATCATGTACTTGCAGAAAAATAAGAAGGTAAACACGGAACTCAATCGGGAGTCACGACGGCTCGATAACCATGGCGTTAGCTCCCCTCACCAGAAGATTCCCAGTTTTTTTTTTCGTCTAGTTGTTTTGAAGGGACAAAGAACTGAGGTCAACTCAACCCATGTATTCGTTCTCGTGCACGTTAAAATAACCCTTTGCTTTTGGAATATAAAGACACATTACAGGGTACCGTTACTTTTAGGGGGGAGAAATGGGGTTTAACGTCCACTAGGGACTAACATATGGTTCAATTTTATTTTAATAATTCGCTTGCGCGTGGGGGTCTTTAGCAGTTCGAGGAAACCGGAGGACCCGGAGAAAACCCACGAGGTTGGACAGGCAACCCGAACGGAAAGCACGAGACCCAATGACAGATCTTATGATACAGCGCGCATGTGCTAACCATTCGACCCCCCCCCCTCTATCTTTAGGACAAAAATTCCGTCCTATCACTCTGCTTGACTGGTTGGTGCAGAAAAGTAGGACGTATTAAAAATTCCATTGCCTGCTTGATAATTGAACATTGATGTTTTAATCATTTATGTGTCTGGTGTAGTAGGACACGGCCCTGTATTCAGAATTAAAGACAAGAGAACCATTCCAGACGTGGCTTCCCCTTGTCAGTGGTGCAGGAAGGAAGGCCCAACAAGGGCAGCTGTCTAGTCGTTCGGATGGGACAAAAAACCGAGGTCCTGTGTATACATTGGCGTGCACGTAAAAGATCCCTTGGCACTTGAAATAAGATATAAGAGTAGGCCATAGTGCTGCTGCCCAGGCCAAATTTCCCTCGTAGTACACTGTATGGCGTATGCCCGTCTTCATTAGCCCCGTCAGAGAAGAATAGTAGGGCGTTAAACCCCATTTTCTATATTATCTGAAATATCTCCTCTGGGCACAGCTTTGAACCCAAGAGGCCAGTTCGTAAATCTTAAAACATTTGAGACTGATAATAAAAATAGAAATGTACTCAGATTATTGAATGTAATAGTATTTTAGTTGAAGGAAATCAGCGTGGGGTTAAACTAAATACATACATAAAACTAATTATTTACACATTTATTAAAGAACCGTATCTTTATTAACTGTAATATATACAACTCCTTAATATTTCACTTACTATTACAGATCAAGTAAATTTGACATGTAAGCGGTTTTCAATTAGAACAATATTTATTTCTCTCGCTTAATGAAAGTGGTGAAATAATCCCCGTTTCCTAGATTGGCTCCCAAGAGAGAGAGGGAGATGGGGGGGGGGCATAATACCTGAAGGAGACACACGTACAAGCTTGGGATCGAAACCACACCACCTGACTCAGTTTCAGACCTTGTGATGTAAAGCGTACACCTGATTTTTTTTTTTTTTTTTTTTTTTTGAAACAATGGAAGCAAAACTCTAAACATGGATTATCAACAGGAGCCGTGCGTAAAAATTCCAAGTCAATCGGATAATAAATTGAATTTCTTGGTAACTATCTGGAATCAATATGAAAATGAAATGAAATGGAGTTTAACTCCTACTGTTCTGCTCCGAACGGGGCTAATGAAGACGGGCATACGCCATACAGTGTGCTATGAGGTAAATTTTGCCCGGACAGCGACACTGCGGCCTACTCTTATATCGAATTCCAACTGTCAAGGGATATTTTACGTGCACGCCAATACGGGACCTCGGTATTACCTCTCATCTGAAGGACTAGACAGCTGTCCTTGTCAGGCCCTCCCTCCTGCATCACTCACAAGTGGGAACCACGCCGGAAAATCTGGATGAACTTTCTCGGCCAATGCCGGGATCAAATACCCGATCTCCAGGCTCCACTCATGAACACAAACGCCATGTACACTATTCAAATCAATCGGGTGATAATTCTAGATTCTAGAGTATCCACACGTTTTTGTGTACATGATCAAGGACAGCACTGATTGGAATCGGTGAAAATCAATAGGATTTCATATAAACACTTTTTATGAATATAAAATCAATTGAATGATAACTTGTTGACGGTGTATACAAATCATTACGAATATAAGTGCATAGTATAAGTTTGCGGTAAATCGAAGATTTGAATTTAACACGTGTATTGATTTGCGCGGTAAATCGAAGATTCGAATTCTAAACGTGTATTTGTTTGAGTAGAATAGCACTCTGATTAAAATACAGATCTATATTTCGTTTCGTTTTTTATACTTTCGATAGCCTACACTACATGAAGATCTGGCAGGTTCTAGTGGAAGGTCGCGTCGGGGTCATAGAAGCGGATTTTGACCCTATGATGTCAGACATTGATTAATCTATCAGCGTTGACATTTCTAGAGGTTTACCCACCGTTCCGTGCCTCGCACGCCAAGAACTCGCCGTAACAGACCGTTTCATTGGCTAATCCCTCACTTCAACCAGAACGCGTGTTATATAACAACTCTTCCATATCCAAGTATTGTGAAGACAAGTAAAACGAAATTTTGAACTATAAAAAAACGAAACGAAATAGGATCTGTGTTTTAATCAGATTGAGAGGAATATATAAGAGAAAATTATACCCACCATTGATAACAATTCTGAACTAGTGTCCACCATACTGCAGTTATAATATATGGGTGCTTGGAATTTATTTGAGCTTAAAATAAATGAATTAGTTTTATCACGATTTATGCTTGAAGTCTTAGGTTTAATTTCACTTATATTCCTCGAGACAACTCTGTTTTCTTCTGCTACGTTTCCAACTTGCGGGGACAGTTCTGCAGTGTTTTTGGAAAGATGTCCACTGGAGTTCCGAGATGACGTAGAATACGCCAGAAGTAACATGGAGGCACTTGCTAGGATACACAGCACGTACACGAGTCGTGCTTGACGACGTGTTGCTAACATTGATCGCGGCCATCTTTGATCTATAGAACGAGGACATCCGTAATTCATGATATTGTGGGCCCCTTTAAGCAATGTGACATCACCATCCCATTTGCTGTGATTTATCTGAAATACGAAAACAATAATAATTTTTAATAAAAAAAATTAAGGGTTCTTTTTTTTATCAATTATAAGAGCGGAAATTTTCCGTATACATCATTACATATTCTCGATATTGTCGTCTTCTTTGGCTCATATTCGAATCCTTGGACCCAGAGCAAAAGAGCGAACGTATAATAAACATTCAGATAGCAAATACAATGAGAGAGAGAGAGAGAGAGAGAGAGAGAGAGAGAGGTTTGGCCAATTTGGGACCCACACATGATTCAATTTTATTTCAATGAAACTAGGTCATTTCGGGACTAACATATGGCTCAACATTAATTCAATAATTCGTTTGCAGGAAGGGGTCTTTAGCAGTGGGGGGGAATCGGAGGACCTCGAGAAAACCCACGATGTTGGACAGGCGACGCTACTCTTTGTCACGCACGTACAACCGGGGAATCGAAACCATGCCAGTTGACTCAATGACAGACCTAATGATACAGTGCTGACGCGCTAACCATTCGTCCATTCAATCCCCCACCCCAACCAATACAATGTAGGCCTAGGCCTATCATCATAAAATGATGTTATTCTCAAACTGACGTTACTTCTCTCTATATGCCAACATCATACGTGGCTAAGTGGGTAAGACGCTGGCTCGCTAGCCTGGAGGTCGGGTGTTCGATTCCCCTTGTCAGTGATGCAGGACGGAGGGCCTGACAAGGACAGCTGTCTAATCGTTCGGATGGGACGAAAAACCGAGGTCCCGTGTACACATTGGCGTGCACGTAAAAGATCCCTTGGCAGTTGGAATTCGATATAAGAGTAGGCCGCAGTGCCGCTGCCCGGGCAAGATTTCCCTCATAGCTCACTGTATGGCGTATATTTTTAAAAGCAGGAGGTTGTCCTTCCTTCCCACCTTCCCGTATTGGCTCCGCGCCTATTTATATAAATATGCTATATTTGATAGACTGCAGAATGAAATGAGTCATTTTGTTGAAGTAGTTTCCTGATATTGTTAAAGTGTTCGCCGACTCACTACGAATCGGAAATGTGAATATATAAACAAAGAAAAGTTTGTAAAAGTTGAATTATTCACCTAAAACTATTGACAGAGAATATATATTCCACTCGAGATCTATAACTATCTAGGTGTCAACATTTATAATTAACGATGTAAGATTTAGATAAAGATCTTGTCGTTCTTGCTATATCCAACCTCGTGGGTTTTCTCCCACTGCTAAAGAACCCTATGCGAAAGCGAATTATTGAAATAAAATTGAACCATGTGTTAGTCCCGAAATGATCTACTCTCTCTCTCTCTCTTTCCCCCTCTCTATCTCCAATTCCAACTGCCAAGGGATCTTTTACGTGCATGTCAATGTATACACGAATCCTCGGGTTTTTGTACCATCCGAATGACTAGACAGCAGTCCTTTGTATACACTTGAAGCCAAAATAAAGAGGGGGTTGGATGGCCAAATGGTTAGCACGTGTGCGCTGAATCATAACGTTTGTCATTGAGTGAACTGGCATGGTTTCGAATCCCCGGTTGTACGTGACAAGAAGTAGGTTCGCCTATCCAACCTCGTGGGTTTTCTGTGGGTCCCCCGGTTTTCTCCCACACCTAAAGACCCCTACGCGCAAGGGAATTATTGAAACCAAATTGAAACATGTGTTAGTCCCGAAATGACCTAGTTTGTCGAGTGGACGTTACCCCCCCCCCCCCCATCACTCTCCAAAACAAAGACCTGCTATATAGGCAGATATATACCTATATATCGAATCACATGCGGTTAATAACCCACACTGTACTCCAGCATGGCGCATTTCAGTTGCATGCTTAATTACATCTAGTTTCCATGGTAACCCAAACCATCATTTATTTCCACATCCACTTAAGTTAATATATTAACCATATTTTATAGTTACATACAGACAAGCGTTGTTAAACATGGCCGATAAATGTTAGCTTTAAACACACAAACACACTATTCATTGACTCCCTTCCTTTCTTAACCCAATGTCGTATTAAACATCGCAAATTTATATAAATAGGCGCGGGGCCAATACGGGAAGGTGGGGAGGAAGGACAACCTCTTGTTTTTAAAAATATAGGATATTGTCATACAGACAGTAGTAACGTCAGTTTGAGAAGAACATCATTTTATGATGATAGGCCTAGGGGAGGAGGGGGGATTGAATGGCCAAATGGTTAGCGCCTGTGCGTTGTATCATAAGGATTGTCATTGAGTCAACTGGCGTAATTTCGATTCCCCGGTTGTACGTGACACGGAGTAGGGTCCCCCCCCCAACCCTGCTAAAGACCCCTATGAATTATTGAAATAAAATTGAACCATGTGTTATTCCCGAAATGACCTAGTTTGTGTCGAGTGGACGTTTAATAAAACGGTTCGTTATGTTAGTCTTGTCAACACCTAGTTCGCGTTACTTGTCAAGTAGAATATCATATATATGTTGTACTTTGATTAGAAAAAATATCGTCTTCATTAATTAGCCCAGTAGGGACAAAACATTTGGATAGCAACACCAAAAATAGGTTGCCAGGCAATAAACGAGGTCATTTCGGGACTAACATATGGTTCAATTATTTCATTAATCCGCTTGCGCGTAGGGGTTTATAGTAGTGTGGGGACATGCAACCCTACTCCTGTCACGTACAACCGTGCAATCGAAACCACGCCAGCTGACTCAATGACAGTCCTTAAGATGCGCTAACCATTCGGCCATCCAACTCCTCGATTACTACTGCAGTATTGTAATCTGATTAAGATACAGATCTATATTTCGTTTCGTTATTTTTTTATAGTTCAAAATTTCGTTTTGGTTAGCGAAAGTATAAAAAAAAAACGAAACGAAATATAGATCTAGTTTAATCGGATTGTAGTAATTAAGAAGGACAATATGGTTACATACGACAAAGTCTAAACGTTAAGGCTCACTGCAGATTTCGTCATAGGTCGCGAGATGTAAATAGTCTTAGGGCACGTGATTGTTGAAGAGATTGTGGGTTAGAGGCTAGACCTGAGGTTAGGGTTAGGGTAATGGTTAGTAATAGCACTGTTTACATCGCGTGACCTACGACCAAATCTGCCTTGGGCCTTAAGTTTTAGACCTTACTTTAAATATTGAAGGCCAAATATGTTTAAAAATTAATTGTTATTATTTTTTATATTCAGGTCAGCACATGTTATATATCAGGAAGTAAGAAAAAATATGTTCCGCGCAGACCGACATCTGACATCCTATATCCTGTATGCCTGATCTGTTTCAATAAATAATGGAATTTAAATTTTTTAAAAAAACCCAGACGATATTATTGCAACAAGTTTGTTTTAATTCGATCGGTTCTTACATGTCAGGGATAATAATTTATTTCCAGGTTTGACCAGTGGTGTGTCGTCCGTGCCCCAGTCTGATTATAATACAGATCTATATTTCGTTTCGTTTTTATTATACTTTCGATGGCCTACACTACATGAAGATCTGACAAGTTATAGCGATAGGTCACGTCAGGGGTCAAAAGACCGACTTATGACCCTATGACGTCAGATATCTGATTAACCAATCAGTATTGATGTTACTAGTGGATTACCCACAGTTCCGTGCAAAACACGCCGTAACAGACCGTTTCATTGGCCTATCCCTGACACCATTCAGAACACGAGTTAAATAACAATTCTTCCAGATCCAAGTGTAGTAAAGACAAGTAAAACGAAATTTTGAAATATAAAAACGAAACGAAATAGGATCTGTGTTTTAACCAGATTGTCTGTGCCCTAGTCGTCGGGTTGGGATGAACACAGGGACTGCTTGGTGTGTACGTAAAAGAACCTCTAACAGTCACAATTCGATGGAGAGTAGGTGGCAACACCTTGGCTTAGACAAACGTGAGAGAGAGAGAGAGAGAGAGAGAGAGAGAAATAGGGTTTAACGTCCACTCGACACAAACTAGGTCATTTCGGGACTAACATACGGTTTAATTTTATTTCAATAATTCGCTTGCGCGTAGGGGTCTTTAGCAGTGGGAGGAAACCGGAGGACCCGGAGAAAACCCACGAGGTTGGACAGGCGACCCTACTCCTTGTCACGTACAACCGGGGATTCCTTAGACAAACGTCTCCGTTCTAACATTGTACATGTTATAAAGGCAAACATGTGTTAGCTTTTAATGGTTGAAGTTGAATACAAAAGTACATCGACACATTGTTAGCTATGTGAAGTGGCATCGGTCGTGCTATACACTAAACCATAAACACTAATAACCAATTTATATACACTAATGACCAAACTGATGAATCATCTATATACCCTAATGACCAAACTGATGAATCAGCTATATACCCTAATGACCTCACTATACACACTAATGACCTCACTATACACACTAATGACCTCACTATACACACTAATGACCTCACTATAAACACTAATGACCTAACTATACACACTAATGACCTAGCTATATATACACACTAATGACCCAAGTATGTACACTAATGGCCTCATTATACACACTAATGATTTCACTATATACACTAATGACTTAACTATACACACTAATAACCCAACTATATACACTAATGATGACTTATCTATATACACTTATGAACTATCTATATACACTAATGACCTTACACCATTTACTAATGCCGGAACTCTATCCAAGAATGACGTAAATCCACCCTCTCATGGCCTGATTATATCCCGGAGTGCGAACAAAGCCCTAAATCCCATTAATTTTAACATTGGTTTTTTAATACTATGACGAAAAGGAACACAATGTAACACCAACAAAGTCACATCCACATGGTAACCAGTTGTGTAGTACTAGATCAAATTAACATTTACAATTCCTACTTATTAAGGGAACATTATATTCACTGGACACGCTAGAAAATCGTCATTCATTAATATTTTACTAGCAGATGGTCATTTTACATGTCAAGGCAATAACCGTATCATTCAGACATTAAATAATAAAAAAAAACTACCCGGCC